AACATTTTATTAAATATTTTACACCCACTATGTCACTAAAATCAGTCTGGTAAGGTTTTTAACAACCATGAGTCAACAATGGGGAACCCTACTATATAACCTACCGTGGTATTGTACACAGTTCTCAACAGGGGAAGGCCCTCCTTTACAGTTCTCATCAGATTTATTTATTTTATTTTATTATTTTTTTTTAAAGAAAATTTTGATCTCTGAAGACATGTTCTACCTCCCGTGTGGCCCCCCCTGTAGGTCCAGGCTGGGGATCCTGCTGCAACCCCTACTCTATCTGTTGCTCCTTCTTTGATGTGATGTCACAAATATTTTACAATTGTGGGAGGAACTGTCTAATGTTGATTTCTAAATCAACACCAGACTGAGTGCTGATTTAGACTGTTGGTGTTGATTTAGAAATCCACACTGGACTGGATTGCTTTTTGTTTAACTCTTTGGAACTCTTTAGTGAGTGTTAGGGAATCTACACTCACTAACACTCATGTTGTTGAATTAACACTATATTTTTAACATAGAACACTTGCACTGGAAATCTGACACTTCCGAATTTGCTGTGTAATATCACTGGATTCATTGTAACACCTATAAAGACCTAAGGGTGGTTTGAATCAAAAACTGTCATTAGGCAACAGGATTCTTTCTTATTCCTAATAGTGTTTTGCCCAGATATCCTTGGTTTTGAGCTGGTTTTGTCCGAATGAAACTGATCTAGAGCTGACTGTTTTCAATCCAACCTTTATCTTCCATTTACAGCCTAAACCGAGAGACCTAAACTTTGCTCTCCCCAGCCAGTTGTTCCAGCTCCTCCAGTGGAATCCCAAGGGGACCCGAACAAGCCAAGAAGCACAGTCCTTCCAGTATGTCCTGGCTCTTTCTCTGCGTGTCCTCCTGGTGGGACGGGGCCGGAACATCTCACCAAGAAGGCATCCAGGAGGCATCTTAACCAGATGCCCGAACCACCTCAACTGGCTCCTCTCCATGTGGAGAATCAGCGTCTCTATTCTGAGCCTCTCCCAAATGACAAAGCTTCTCAAACTAATTCTATAAGTTAGAGCCCAGACACTCTACAGAAAAAAAAATATTTATATTCACAATCTTGTTTTTTTCAGACACAACTCAAAGCTCATTACCACAGATGAGGTTCGGAAGGTAAATTGACTGTTATAACAAGACAGAGCTTCACAGCTTCAGCACCAGCCCCTCATCGATCTCCTGCTCCATTTTTCCCTTGTTTTTGAAGAAGACCCCTTCTGACACTGGGGCTGTGTAATAATATCGATTTTGCAATATATATCGATATTTTCTTTCCTAGAAAAAAATCGATATTCATCCCCAAGTATTATAACATCCAACTGTCACCTTGCTCACTCACTGCTTGCTTCGCCGGGAGAGTGATTAGGTCATCAGGCTTAGAGTGATTCCTTCAGATGTTAAGTGTCAAGGTTAAAAGGTAAAAGGTATCAAACTATTCAGAGCAGGGTACTTGGTGCACTTTATTTACTTTACAAATGCATGTAAGCTACAGTTTGTACTGTTTCAATTAAACATGTTTTCTCACCACTTCTTTGATTCATTTTGTCCAGCTGTCGACTTTAAGTCTGTGTCCATGTCCAACCAGAGCCAGGTATTGTGTAGTTGGTGCTTTTAATCAGTTTTCAGTTAAATTAATTCAATCCAACTCTATAACAGTCACAATATGTCACCAAATCACTCTCTCCCTCTAAAATCTTTCAGAAAATCGCAAAAGTGTATTGAACTGTATTGTTTGCTGAATATTGCAATATATATCGTATCGTGAGCAGAATATTGTGTATTGTATCGTATCGTGAGATTATTGTATCACTACAGCCCTATCTGACACCTTGATCCATGATATCTGATGCTTTTCTGTCTGAGGTCAAATGGTCTGTTGTCTGTTTTTCTGAGAGTTGAGGATGCCCCAGAAAATATGCATATTTCAAGCTCGGCTTTCACAACCTTTTGCATATAGTATTAAGGATATAAACACCCCAACACTCAAAGTGTGGCACGTTTTACCATGAAGGGCAATAAAAGCATGAGCCAGCTGGGTGCCCTGAAGCTCAGAAGTCTGACAGGAGGAGCCTAAGCTCAGGAGATGCTTTTTACTGGTCTACCACCCGATGCTCCCCTCCAGATGCCCAGCGATGACAGAGACCCCCACTATTGGCCGCAGCAGGATACTTGGAACTGATGTGAGCTGTCTGTTCTCTCTAAGGCCGGAGCGTGCCAGGCAACAGCTGCAGGGCTCAAGGTCTGTCCCCTCCTCCACAAAATCCTCAACATAATTCCAAAACACTTACATAAAACTCTGACCATGCCAAGCCACGTGGGGGGAAAAGGTCCATCAATACAGCCATTGTTGTGTTCCAGGCCAACTAAGCCTGGGATAGAAGAGGGATGAACCCACCTTTTGACCCCCCCCCCCACTCCACACACACACACAGCAACAGTCATTAATATGGCGATATGTTTTGAAAACTCCGCAGCTGTTTGCTGTGTGAGAACAGAGAAAATGCACTGCTCAAAACACACACCATTCTCTACAGACAATAACAGAACAAAGA